ACTGGTTTTCACACTGTACACGACCACTGGCTGTCGCACTGTACACGACCACTGGTTGTCGCACTGTACACGACCACTGGTTGTCGCACTGTACACGACCACTGGCTGTCGCACTGTACATGACCACTGGCTGTCGCACTGTACACGACCGCTGGCTGTCGCACTGTACACGACCGCTGGCTGTCGCACTGTACACGACCGCTGGCTGTCACACTGTACACGACCGCTGGCTGTCACACTTTACACGACCGCTGGCTGTCACACTGTACACGACCACTGGTTGTCACACTGTACACGACCACTGGTTGTCACACTGTACATGACCACTGGTTGTCACACTACACGACCGCTGGCTGTCGCACTGTACACGACCACTGGTTGTCGCACTGTACACGACTACTCAATACACGACTGTGTGAATACCTTTCTGCAATAGTGCTCCTGATACAATTCTGTACACACAGACATCAATAATGATGTCTTTGAATACACGAATTTTGATCAATAAAAAATCCCCCGAATGAATTTATCAAGAAAACTAACGTGAGATTTTTTTAATAATTTCTTTAAACTTTATTTTGTGAGGTAATTCTTTACGAGCTTGAAATGTATTCTTCCACTTTTTTGACTTAGTAAAATTTACCCTCTCAAGGAAGATATTAGCAATCCTATGTTGTGTGCATGTGTAATTTTCAACAAGATTCTGATATTTCAAATTTGAATGATGAATTCCATAACTGTAACTGACATCAAAAAGACAGAGGCCAACATACAAGCCCCTTCCTTCTCCTCTCATTAAACAAACTACTAATTACACACTAATACATTTATGTACATTTAAGTAGATATCATGAACACATGCCATTACTGAACATCAATGAAAATTGGGGTCAAGGAGAAACAAGAGTCCAAATAAGTGAAAACAATTCTTTTCACATTTTTTCTCTATTTTGACATGGAAGTTTCTCTTCATGTTTTGGAATCAACATACAGTGACATTTGGTGTATGTTAACACAGAAATATGATCAAATAAAATAAACAGTGTTACTGGCAACATTAAAAATAAACAAATCATGACATGATTCAAATTCATTTTTAGCAGACTGGACTTTTCTAGTCATAGGCCCAGGGAACTCAACATGTAAAATTAGGGAAAGTAAGGGATAGGAGTTATACCCAAGAACCTCCTCGTAAAAAATGAAAGCTTTAATCACTAGTTGACTTTGTTGACAATCAATCAATATTTTCCATGGGCAAGGCTGTATTCACTTAAAACATGGTTGGATGCAGGGACAACAGCTGATTGGTAAGGGAAGTAAAGGCAAGTACTCGCTTTGCATTGGAATGAATGGTACAGATGAGTTTATATGATTGTTTAGTTATATCACCACTGTACATGCAGGGCTCGAAATTAGCGATGGCCCTGCGTCCACAGACTACCAGTTTCTTTCTTGGGGCTATCACTTTTCAAATTTGGTAGCCCAACTGGGCTTCCTAAAAATCTGGGATGAGACAGTGTTTACTCTAGGACACGTGATTTCCCGCCTACTACAGCAGTCACTAATTATTTTGCGCGTCCAATTTTTGATTATCACTCAGTAGTGATTATATTAACATATAAAATCAAAGAAAGTTTAGAAAGAACTCCCGTGTGCCGAGAGTAATGGAGACACATTAAAAATTAATTCAAAATTACTTGAACTTGAGATATTGATGGAAATGCAGAAAACTAATTATGCAAATAAGGTAACTAATGTGAACAGATTTAAGTGTAAAACTAATAAAGGTCTGCACAATGTAAAAGTAATAAGATCTGCGCAATGTAATATCTATATACCAAGTTTCATTGAAAAGTGATTAGAACCAAAAAATTATTAATTATTATGCTAATTAGAGAATATGGTGTATAGTCCTAGGTTCATTGGAATGTGATGAGTACTCTTTAAAAGTTTCTTAAAATCCAATGAGTGGCTCTTCAGATATCAGTGGAACAGGCATACAACAGCAACAACTTAACTAATTATGCAAATTAGGTAATTAATATGCACAATTATTTATCCCAAAATTAATCAGGTCTCTGCATAGTCCTAGAAGATCTATGTCGCAAGTCTCATTGAAATGTGATGATTAGTACTCGAGATATCAGGTGAAACACTGAAAATTACCTAATTATGCTAATAAGGTGATTAATATGCACAAATATTTATCCAAAAACTAATTAGGTCTCCGCACAGTCCTCAAGTCACTATGTACCAAGTTTCATTGCAATGTGATCATTACTACTTAAAATATCAAAAGCTGAAAATTAATTAATTATGTTGTCATGAATGTAAGCTGACATGTTTCGTTCTAATTTTGAAGCGACGTGCACAGGAACGCGAGAGAAGACTGGACCAACTTATTTGGATGCACAGAAACAGTATACAACGGCGTAACAGAATACAGAGTTTTATTAATGCATGTCGTAGACAGCGATCCAAATTTATTTTGTCTACGATTGGTGCTGCTGTACGTTCTACTGCAGCAACCCGATCAGTGTGGAAGCGTGTACACTGAAGCTTGGTTGCCATTTTGGGAATGAGAAAGTTGGATACATGTATATTTGATCACGTGCATAATGTTCACACCCAAAGGTCGCCGCTGAAGGCGCTTAGCCCTACGCTAAGCGTACACACACACTTCGTTAGCCCGTGCTAAAGGTCTAGACCGCGTCTTAAATTTGGATCAGATTTAACCCGTACTTAGCATTCCTTAGCCCGTGCTAAGCGTTCACGCACGTTTGCTTAGCACGGGCTAAGGAATTTGACCTCTTAGCCCGTGCTAAGGAGCTGTGCGTGAACGCAACTATTGTGAGTTGTATTAAAATTCCATTATTAATTGTTCAGAATTGATGTTTTAGGTGGGTGGGGTAAAAAAAAATATTCATTTTGCTTTTCTGAGACAATTTATAACTTGTTAAACATATAATGCGATGTGCACTTGTAAACAATTATTACCTGTCCCTGTACCAACTTTGAACAAAACTGGAAGACACATATCTGAGAAAAAGCTGGTAACAGCTAGAAAAAGCTTCTTTTTTTTTTTTTTTAAATTTTTGAGGAAAAAAATGGCCTCCAAGTCGTAAAAATTTATTCAATCAAACAGGTCATGAATGACACTGCCTTCACTTGTTGTCATTTGAAAGTTGCAACATATAATTTGTCCAGTTTTTGGCATGGACATAAATTGGCAAACATGATTTCTATGGCATTTTCAAGTTTGTAGCACTCTCCATCCTGGTCTCAGGAAGAACACCAGAGAGCAACAAACAAGTACAACAGGTAAAATGACATGTAAGTATGCAAATCACATCTGCAAATATGTTGAAGAG